CCTAAAGACCCCCTCAGGCGCCATCCAGGAGGACAGACCAGCCTGTCTGACTCATGACTCATAGGCTCACAGTTGAGGCCACATTGTGGAGGGGACGGGGACGGCGATGGGCCCTGGGGTGGGTGGCTGGAGCCCAGGGCCCTTGTGCAGGCCTTGCGCGCTGTGCCTCATCTCAGCTCGCTGGAGCCCGTGCTGACTGACTCGATTTCCCTAAGGCTGGCGGAGGCCCGGCAGCCCTGCTGATGGACGGTCCCCCTGAGCCAGCTTCCTCAGCAGACAGACAGCCTGCTGTTTTGTTCTTGTCTCTTATCGCCCCTTGTCATTAAAGGAGAGGCCTGGCTTCAACTTCAATTTGTGCTGATACACAGCAGTAGAGGGGAAGGGAGAGGCAAAGTCTCCTCCTGTTCCGCACGCCGCCACTCATTTCTTCCTGCTCTGAGGCTCCCTCCCTCCCTGCAGACAATTACACCAAGGGGTGAGCCTGAGCCGAAGCTGCCCTGCAGGAAAGGCTGTGTCACCAGCTTCCTGGGGAATTCTCAGGCTAAGTGTCTTGCTGTCCCAGTCTTGCTCTTGCTGCGCAGCTTGACGCGGCTGTGTTGTGCAACTTCAGAGCTTCTTCCTGGGGTTGTGCTGCTTTGTCCTGGTTTCAGCAGCCCTGTCCTTCCCAGAGAAAGCATCACCGCAAGAGTAGATCTTCCCTACTCTCGCTTAGCAGAAAGTCAGACAAGGACCTAAGCCATGGGCACTCTTCTGTTCCCTTGCTTTTCTAAGAGAAACAGGAGGAAAAACCGAACATATTTTGTGCCACTCTTGGCTCCATGACTTAAATTCCTGAAGATGTTTAACCAGCTTTCCATCAGTCTTGATTTTCCTTAGTAACATCCCGTCTCTGCGCCTTCTCCTTATTTATAGCACTTCAGCACTGATTTCTTTCAGTATGTACATTAGAAAGTTAACAACATCCTGCCGAGAGATCTCACTCTCCAAATGTCTCTCCTCCTCCTCCGTGATGTTCTTTACAAACCTTACCAGCAAGCCTGTTGCGGAAACATGGCATCCAACGCAGTTCAAACTAAATACTAAAATTTCCCCAAAGGAAACTCAGTGAAAAGCGAAGAAAAAGGAATGAGATTATGACCTTGGAAAAGTTACCCCACGCAATACAGTGTGCTTACTACACAGCATTCTCGGGGGTTTTTTGGTTTCCTTTTTTTTTTTTTTTTTTTTTTTTTTTTGAG